GAGGAGGAGGGGGAGGGGAGGAGGAGGGGGAGGAGGAGGAGGAGGAGGAGCAGGAGCAGGAGGAGGCGGAGGAGAACACGCCATCCCCCTTTAAGTACATAGATGAAGATAATGCTGCAAGAGCAGTCCGGTACTCTCAAAACAGTATGAAAGCTATGTTAATAGAACACTGAATATGCTAAGTCAAGAAAGTTTTAATGTTCTTTCAACCAAAGGAATGATAAAACAACATGTGTAATACAGTTTCAGTCTGGCATGATGCTAGATTTACATGAATATTGTTGAAAAAACATGAGTAATGTTACTCAAATATTACCGTCATGTTGATTCAACATGGCAGGTAGAAGCATTCTCGGTCATGTTGATTCAACATGACGGCAAATGTACAATTAACTCAAACCATGCTGGATCACGGGGAGTGCAGCTTATATCAACATAATTTTTGACATGTCATTTCAACATGGCGGTTAATGCTACTACGACATTTCCTTTTTTTTGAGTGTATGTCATGTTTGAGTAGATGTTGGTTTGAAAATTTTCAGAGGACGTTTCCAATGTGATAATATATACTGGCCAATCTTTCAAAAATATGTTCTTGGTTTGAAATTCACACCCATTGCAATTCTAATTGTTATTCAAACTAAAATTTGTAAATTCTGTAGAACAGTTCTAAGAAATACTGAATAAAAAGTTTCAGATTTATCAATTCATTCTTCGGATTTCCAAAATGCATGTTTTTTGTTTGATCAAAGCAAGATTTGAAAAATTTACGAAAATATTTGGAGAATATTTCACCTTAATTTTGAGAAAGCATCAATTCGTTATTCTAATCATACGAATTCCATTTTTCAGTTGTTACGAAACTCTATTTGAAAATTTTAGAGCACGGCTTTGAGGAAACTTCAAAACCTGTTCTGTAATAATATCAAGTTTTTTCCTTGAAAATTGCAAAATTCACCTTTGATAAAAATGCAAATCGTAGTTTTGCGAATTTTACAAAACTGTTTCTGAATATTTCAATTACGTTTCGTTATTATATCAGTCTTAATCGCCTAAATTAACACAATTTTTTATAGGATTCAGCAATTCTTGTACGTTTATAATATCAAGTCCGCTTGTGTATAAATCTACCGCAAAAAGCTGTAAAAACAAACTAATGTCCACTGTAATTATCATTTGTAGTGATAAATTAACAATTTTCTTCATATTTTAGCAAAATAACTAAAATGCTAATTCTAGGAAAAAGTGATTTGATACTTCAACAAATTTGCTTTCTTGAATTATAAACCGATTCACATGATTCAGCCGAATTTAAGAGGCCAATTTTTACATTTTGTGTTCAGTAGAAACCACATTTCCTTTTTTTTCGGTGTATTTACATGTGTGATTTAATCATTTCTACTATTACTTCGACTGTAATCTTCCCGATACCCTTCCAAATCCATATACACATTTTATAATATTTTGACCCCTTCAGCTTTTCCAAGAAAGTAGAGTGCTTTTTGAATGTAGGCAAATGCTGTTCCGGAGCGGTGTCATTAGTGATGGCGTCCATCTTCACAAGATCAATAATTATAATGGTGTCATTTGTTATAACTAGGGCTTCGTAAATTTCTAGGCAATTCTCTGTGAAAATGTCCGAGACGATATTGTCCTTTGGTACTCCGGTCAACAACGTTTCCAAATCATTTCCAAATCTTTCCATTGATTCATTCAAATCCAAGCGGAAGTAAGGGCTGGGAGAGTTGTAGTGAATATTGAGATACTTCTGAATACTTTTGCTTCCATTCTGATTACTTTCGTTTCCATTCTGTAGGCCCTTGAAAGTTTCTAAGAATTTGTCATATTCTTCCTGTTCTTTTCTTAACTCTGGTGCAAATGCGTTTTTAATATAGTCCTTAACTTCTTTGTTCGGGATTCTCAGTTTAAAAACGTTGTGTTTCTTTGTTTTTATGGCATTTAAATATCCCGCTTGGGCCAGAAGACTCCAATATGTTTCTTCTTTTTTAAACAAGTCTTTGATCACCAAATCCTTTTCGATTGTTTTTTCCAATGCGTACCCAGACAGGAGTAAATGAATATGTAGTATTCCGATTCTACCGGAATAAAAAATTAGACTCTTGAAGAGTTCGAGCGATCCCGTTTGCCCCAGAAAGTTTCGAATTTGTTTTGCGATATTGCCGATAACACAGAAAACGGATTAAATATACTTGCATCACCGAACTTGTACCCGTCATACCATTCGTCGAAGTCCTTGTACTTCAATTGAGTTTTTGATTTGATAATTAAGTCATCAACTTCGATTTTGGTAAATCCAAACAAGGGATTGAACGTCTGGTCGTTAAATATGGTAAACGCTTCAAAATTTGATAAATCGGAGAATAGACTGGCTTTCGCCAGATAGCTAATCCCGACAAGAATTCCCTTATCAGGAGTGGGTACGATCCCATCCTTGAAACAGAAAAGGTAAAACTCTCTCATCAGTTCGAGAGTTACTGAATATAATTCACTGTTGGTGAGATCTTTCCCTGCTTCTAATGTTCGTATTCCCTGTTCAATTGTATTTAAAATCGGAGCATCATACTCGTCAATCAAGACGGCGATTTTGTAACCTTTTTTTCTAAGTGATTGTATCAACATTCTATATCCAGTCAGCAAAGGCGTCAATGAATCGATCTTTTGTTGAAAGCAAAAGCGCTCTAACCATAATTTCTCTCGAGAATCTAATGTCGTTTCATAAATGCCAACATATTCAAACAATACATACTGAATATAATGCAAGAAAGCGGATTCAAATTTCGAACCTGTAAGTTTTGAGGCAAAAGATAAAAAAGAAAAGTGAAACACTGCGTATTGGTTTTGATGATTCCTCCTTACATGTTCGAACGCAGGCTCCTTAGTAATGTTGTAATTTGCGAATAGGTTTTGGGACGTTACAAGAGAGTCCTTACTTAAAAATGCTTTCAGCATAGAGAGATTCATCGTTTTTCCAAAACGACGAGGTCTTGTTATAAGTTTAAAGCGATTTCCTGTCAATGCAAGCCCAATAAATGCAGTTTTGTCAACGATCGCTACATTTTCCATCACCAGTTCTGTGAAATCAGACGACGAAATCTGTACCTGAACAGCATCCCCATTCGTAGAAGTCTGAAATAAAAAGGAAAATGTATTAGAGTAGACAAATAGGTCACACATCTGCAACGGGTAGTTAGGCACACAGTCAACGGTTGAATTTTCATGACACCATCACTTCTCCAAGAAGGTTCATGCAGTTTATTAGTCAGTGAGATTGGAGTTTCATTAGGCTGCTAAGAATTTGTTTAGAGGAAGTAGCCCGCACCCACATGCCACATTGAACAAGAAACAATGATTTCCTTTCGAATCATGTTAGTCCCGACCCCAATACCACATTGAACAAGAAAAAAATGATTTTCTTTCAAACCATGGTAGCCCCCAAACAGATGCGACACTGAATTAGAAAATATGGTTTTCGCTCGAATCATGTTTGAAAAATGTCTCAATTTCATTTCAAATGTGACAAC